GTCTCCTGTGAAGTTACTCTTTGTGTCTTTATGCTGTGTGTTTTTAGAGCATATTGACCATTCAAGAAAAAAAAAAAAGTTTAGGGGGGAGTTTAGGGGGCCATACCCCACCCGTCCTTTTCAAGGGAATTATGGGTTTAGTCCTCTCAACTTGACCTTGGCTGCTAATTGCTTGTAGGATAAGTCTTTTGGCTCCTGACAGAGTGTTGTCTTAACCTCCCGTGTCTACTGTGTCCAAACTCTGAGCAAGGAAAACACAAGCCTCAGGAAAGAGGGGGCTTATTGACAGTGGCGTCCACGTAGTGCTTCCTCAGGGGGGGTTTGCTGGGGGGGGGGGGGGGGAAGCAGTCCTGCTCTTATTCCTGCTCTTATCCTTCCCCTCCTGGCCTCATATCGTCGAGTTTATCACAGTGGAATACTTTTTAACTGTGAATTGTAGGGTTCCCTTGTCGATACGCTTTTACGTGGAGTCACTGGCAAATGTACTGACAGTTCAGAAGCAGATGACCAAACAGCAGCTTTCATTCTGTTTTTAAAGAATTCATGTGTTTTTCTGTTCATCTAACATTACTCATTAATGCGCTTCTTACTAATAATTCGTGTACATATATACTGTGCATATAAATACTGCGTGGAGATTTGCATATATAGTCGTAGAGTAATAGAAGAGGAAATATATAACGACACACTGTAATTTGCTTTACATCTGCAACATCTACATTTACAAAATATTTTATGTTACTGATAATTATCCGCATTTTGCATTATCTGATTAAAATTGGATTTAAAAATAAAACTAATATTGTAACAATACTGGGTTGTTTCACAAATATAACAAAGATTTTATTTGTAAAACTTTTAACTTATTTGTAAGTTAAAATGTTAAAATGTACGTAAATAATGCGTACGTTTTCTATATTTATCCAATACAAACTGCGATAAAGATTATTTTTAATTAAAATATGATTTGACATTCATATTATTGGGCTATTGCTATATCATATATATCATATAAAAATCATACTGGAAAAAAAACGCTTTTTCACGCGTCAGGGCGTAGACGTTTTGGAAGAAATACAATATAAATCAGATAATGCGTAATGCGTACTTTTCTTGTTTGCTTATTTTTGCCTTTTTTTTTTATATGACAAGGGTAAATAAAGCGGTAAAACAGCATCCAGTTAGCTATGATCTATCTACGTTATCTATTCAAATAAATGGAGGAAAACTTTTAAAATGTTAAGTCTGCATAAAATGGTTACATAAATGCAGGATGACTGCTGGCTCTTAGTGTGTGGTGTAACTTAACTTTACCCTTATCTTCAGATTTTGCGGGGTCCTTTTCGGCTTTCTGTGTCTATGTTAGCTAATTCATAATCGCCTTTTGATGTTACTTCTTTAGCATGTCGTGAAGCCCCCTTTTGTAATTTGCCAGTCTCACCGTTTAAGTATGTTAAATGCAGGATGTTCTCCACTCTTCTCGCCGCACCTTTCCGGTACGCGGACCCCGCAGCTGTACGCGGACCCGCAGCGGTAAGGGGACCCCGCAGCGGTAAGTTCAGCCCCCTTTTGTAATTTGCCAGTCTCACCGTTAAAGTATGTTAAATGCAGGATGTTCTCCACTCTTCTCGCCGCACCTTTCCAGTACGCGGACCTCGCAGCTGTACGCGGACCCGCAGCGGTAAGGGGACCCCGCAGTGATACGCGGAGCCGCAGCTGTACGCGTAGACGCTGCCGTGACACAGGTGATCGCGCTCAGCTCCGTCTGCGCTCCCAAACTGCGAGCTCTTCATCCAGGCCGCATATAGGTCTGGGTATGACTGCTGAAAGGTTGCCATATGGTCCTTCAATTTAAATTGTATTTTGTTAATACACTGAGGTAAAGATTTTCTTCTTCCATGGTCATAAAAGATAATGATAGCTTGAGTCACAGGTCTGCAGCACCCCCAAACCTGGGTGTCAGTGCAGTAACTGTCTGCTGGGCCACTGATGGCCTATACTCCAGTAGGACTTGAAAAAATAAACCCAGGAAAAGTGTTTCGTTGGGTAATTGCTCGGGTAATGGATAAGCCAACCAAATTCTTTCCCTGGGTTTAAAAAATAATTCTGGATAATTTGAGAACAGAGGAATCATTGTGTTATAGTTTATGAATACACAGGGGAAACATTCAACAAAATGACACTGTCCTCAAGACACACGGACACTTCGCAAAGGTGTTTATTGCTTTAAATGACACTGTCCACTTTTGGGCTATTTGACTGTTTTCTTTTTTCACTTTTTTTTGGTAACTCATCGCTGAGCACGCATCCAAACGTTCGACCCCTTTCCGAGGCCCTGTGGTAGCTAATGACCTTCACAATTGCATCACTGCTACTTCTGCCATCATGTGCAGTCATATACATCAAATAGCAATAAACAAACATACTCTGAATGTATAGGTTTTTTAGTGGTATGGGAAAATTAAATGAAAGGTTTGTGCCTATTTATTTTGGACCCTGCTGTGGGGAAGACGGCGAGGTTCACAGAAATTGTTTATGTATTATCGTTCTGCTATTATTCATGGGCGCTTTTCCGGGCTTGGCTCCTACAGGACCCCCTCGCACGCTGGCGTTCCTGCCAGCGGAGTCTCTTATTAATTCTGCCCCATTCGACTTCTCTCTGAGTTCACATAGTAATAAGTTATTCTTTGTGGAAGTTTTTTTCATGTGTTTGTGCTTATATGGCTGAATAATTTGTACTGTTTTATGAAGTGGATGAACTATATATCTCAGAAACAAATTTTACTGCTAAAATTACCAGAAGATTGCTCTTTAGTCTGTTATAAATTTCTAGATGCACTGTAGTCTGATTATTGGTTGATGTGAATAGAAGAAAAATATATACTACTAGATATGTTAGGAGATCTGGACAAATAGTTTGTATAGTAACAAGTGTTCCTCTTATGCTTTATTTTATTTTTTGATGAATAATTATTTTTATTTATATACTCTTAACCAAAGATTTTTTTGAGAATGATAGACTTTTCCTGAGAAAATGAATATACACTATGTTCATATCGATACTCATTTAAGGTTATTTTCACAGAAGCTCTTGGTGGATAATCGACATTTCACTGAAGATCAGCTTCAGGACTCGCAGGGTGTGTGTGGCCTGAGGACCAATCAAGGCATGTTGGTTATCATCTGGAGATCTTACCAAACGTGCACAGCGGGAATCATCTTAACTTTGCTGTAATTATTGCATATAAGAGGACAGCAGCATAGGGCTCGGCCCACTGGTGTGTATCCTGACATCGAGCCGGAGCACTTTGTATACGTACCCCCCACCCTCTCATAAATCTGCGGCAGTAACACAAGGACTTTATATACAATTTGCGTTTTGTTTTGATGATTTTCCCCTTTATTTTTAATTATTATGAACATTAGGCATCAATTATGGTATTTATCCTTAATTTGATTTGATTGGCGCTTCCCTCTTTGTAGATAAAGAATACTACTCGCAAGATTTATTAGGTGTACTCTTTGTGTGATATCAGTTATTTTCTATTCTGTTTATGGATGCAACTTATCTGTAATAATACATTAAAAAATAGAGATTCAAATTTAATGTATTTCACTGGGCTAATTTAGTACTGTTAATGTAGATTTCAATATTATTGACTTGAAGATAATTGATTCATCCTCTTTGCTTTTATGGGGAGATTTTCCATCATAGAAGGGGTGGGGGGTTGGCGGCACAGAGTCTCAAAGGGCCAGGGAGCACTAATGCAGACCAAACATTCCCGGGGGTCTGGCCTCCCACGTCACAGACGCCTGGCGTGCCCCTCCCCCCAGCCCTCGACCCTGCGTCCGGGAGCCACAGGGCCTATCGGCCCTTCCCTTGGTGTGAGCAGACCCACCCATGCTCTTATAAAATGGCTTTTAAATGATCGCTTCATTTTCACTCGCCAACGATGTATATACGTAAAAATGTCATTGACGGCAGAGTAATTTGACTTGGTCTCGTTCCTCCGCCATCAGTAAGTACTGCCTGATTAGGTCTTGACGAGCGGCCCAATCTTATCCAAACCTCCCAGACCGCATCCGGTCATCAGATCCCTCTCGACCTTCAAGAAACGCCTGAGGACCCATGTGATCCGGAATCAGCTCCACTAGTCTGCAGCACCCCGGCTCTCTCAGTGTACATTGTGATGTGCACATTGTCTTTTGATTTAAAGAGTCACTTTGTTACTTTGTTATATTCTCCCTGCTGAATCTTTGACATCTCTATGTTTGCAGCATGCCTCTTTCCTCACTTGGATGTTGCTTTGAACAAAAAGTTCTACTAAACAGATGGAATTGAATTCCACAAGCTGACCGACTGTGTGAGACGCCCTCTTTTTGGTGCGTGTGACTGACATGGTTTGAGGTTACATGGTGGCACGTGGGAACATTGATAGCACTGGCCTGTAACACAATAGCAGGACGCTTTGGGTAGAGGGGGAGCGAGTTGGGCCTTGATGACACCCCACTGGCTCCAGCGAACACTGAGGCTTGTAACTTAGCTAATGACAGCATGTAAACAGGGACAGCTATTGTACGTAGGCAGTATATGTCTTTATTCTTTAATGGATTATATAACAGTCCTTATTTACTCCCAGTGAAGTCCATTTGGAGGGAAAATTTACAAAAGGGTTACTCACTGGCTGTCATACATACATGCTGTGCTCTGGGGCTCGTGGGCTTGCCTTGTTAGATTTTCCTCTCCAGGGGCGTCCGCTAAAAGTCACTTTAATTAGAGATAATTTGACATGCGGCGCCTGAGCCAGTCGCAGACGGAATCTCGTGAAATGAATTTTTGCAAAGCACTTTGCTGAGGTGGCAATGGCTGAGATGCGGCTGGCAGTTAATGGGGCAGTTTTCAGTTAACTCTGTGATTCCAGTTTAATTTCAGACTAAAATCACTTGTAAGTTCATACCTGTAGTATGTCAGTGAGATTTGTCAGTGAGTTTGTATTGTGTATAGTTAAATAGCTAGCTAAAGTTAGAAAATATCGTTGTCCGAGTTAAAACAGTTTTGAAAATATAAACACATTCCTGATTCATTTTTGTGGAGGGAAATTTACAAAATATGAACTATAAGAAGTATTACTGGTATACATTAAAAATAAATCACTGTATTCATTTTTCCCCCAGAAAAATAAACATGGAAATTCCAACAGCCTCTTTTCATGTGAAATATAAGTGAATACCAGTGTGAAAACAGGCCTCTTTGATGAAATGAAGAAACAGTGTTAAAGATGGGCAGCATTTTTCCAGTTATGGAGTTTAGGTTGAGACTTTCAGGGCCTCTGAACCAAGCTGACATGAACTTACAAACGTAACTCCAGCCCCGACACAGAGCCTATTACTGTTCCTCTCCTTGGAAGGTCGCATCCAAACAGACAAACGAAAGACCGAACGCAAAGGCTGCTTGAATAACTCTAGTGGCTGTGTTTTTTGCTTCATCACCTAAAAACACAGTTCCATCCAATGAAAATTCATGAACCAAAATACGTTGCCAAAATCAACTAAAAGTATCTTTATCTTTCTGCGCCGGTGAGGAGGCCCCAGCAGTGAGGAGGCACAGTGGGGGTCGGGCTCCGGGGAAGCGCTCCCCAGCGGAGGGCCCCACCAGGCCGCCCGTCGGCATTGCCATTGTCATGTGACGTGGGTCGGTTGTTTAGTCTCTAGTCTCGATGTACCTTAGAGTTCTTTTTCATTACAGCCACTTAAAGCTTGTTATTTTGGACTCTAAATAGCCAGTCCTTTTTGTTGTTTTTCCTCTGGTAGTTATGTTATTTGCTTGCTTTCACCCCATCAGAAAATAATAATGTTCTCAGAAGACTTCCAGAGACAGGACCCGGCTCAATTCCCGTAATGTTAAACCTCAATAACCAATCAGGTAAAGCACGCAGTAATGGGCAGTAATCAAATGCAGATTGGCCAAGGTATACACTCAAGGTCGCCGTGCTACCAGCACTGCAGACGTGACCTTCGGGGAGAAGTGTGAAAAAAAACCCAAAGGAAAAGGTTAGTGAATTTGTGCTGAAAATTGGAAGTACAGAAAGAGTCACTGCAACGTGACAAATTCAACAATTCAGGAGAAAATAGCAAATTACCTCAAATTTCACTCTGCTTTTTGTACTTTTTAATCTGATTTTTCTTTCTGAAAAGCAGAGATATTTGTTATATAACCTTTTCATTTGCAGAGGCAAAAAGGATTGTGTCCCCATCTCCTGATTAATATAACATTTTCACCAATTCTTTGTTTTTGATACAGACAATAATCTCATTATAGCAGTACGTCTGATGCACATTTAGTGTTCAAAAATGTTTTGATAGTTGTAATCAAGTTGAAAAGTTGATTACGTTTTACTCAATTGAGTGGCTTAAAAAACATAAACTCAGTGAAAGTTAATAAAGTAAGCATAATGGAATTCATGGTAAATATAAGGTAACTGCATGCAAAAGTAATTTTTGAGGTACACATTACTTCAGATGCTTTAAAATGAAATACTTGTACGTTGATGGGTAAACCAGCAAACCATTCTGTGAAACTGAGACTGCAGGATGTGGTTATGAAAGCTTATGGTCCAACATAAAGATTCTTTTATCCAGTGAGTGATATGGTACCCC